TGTTTGCTTCACAAAAATCTCAGCTTTCTACATAGAAGACTGTTATATAGATGGGATGGGCATATAATATACTATTTAAGGCATTTTTGTTATATTTAAAACATGGTTGTGCATTATGTTGCATTATTTCATTAATGCATCATTTGTAAAATAGGCAATAACTGATCCATGCTGTGAGCAATAAATGATCCATGCTGTGAATTGACTATCCAATCTGTGACAGCTACTCATGCACTCTTGCTATGTGAATGGGTTATCTATTCTATCCTAATATATGATCAATAGAATTGTCTCAGATGTTGTACCTAGTGGCTGTCTATTCTATCCTTATACACTTAATTAGTAGGGTTATTTCAGATGTCATACCAATTCATTTCAGAAGTAAGTGATATTACTAAACAAAACTTTTTCACATATTTTTATACTTTGTAATTTCAATAAATTAAGTAGTTTTGTCATATTACATTACAAATGATAAACAGCAAAATGAATTATGTTGTTTGTTATTGTTATGTACATTATTAAGGTGGGCAGGAGTTTTGCCATACCACGATATTGGTAAGGGCACGTAGTCTTGTGCTTGTCTATCAGTCCATCCGTTCATCACTCTTTGGTTAAGTTTTATATATAGGTTTTTTCAGGCTCTTTGGAGGGGCATTCATGTTCCTTGAACACATTTTTAGTTTGTTTATCTATATGTGAATAGCTGACCTGTTTTTTTTTTTAAGTCCAAATTTATCAGTAAACTAATACTAGTGTCTGATGCATTAAAATTTCTTTAAATTTTTAGAGCAGTTGTCATGTTCTGCATAAATATCTATATTCTTCAGTAAATTAAATGAGTCCTTACTCAAGGTCTGAGGTTTTAAACCACAAGTTGTCTAATTGCCAGTTTATTTCTTAATGAAGGATTAATTTAATATGCAACATCAATGAAGGATTAATTTAATATGCAACATTGTTTTTTTAATTCTATTTTTTCAAGTTGTTTTTTTTTTCTTGCATGATTTGCTTCTTGGCTAAAACATTGGTCTGAGAATTATAATCTTGCAGTATAGACAACATCACTTGTTTTTCATTTTTATTTTTTATTTTTATTTCTGATACCATCACAAACAATGTTCAGAATGGATGTAGCATTTTGCACATTCATAGGTTTGTATGTTTATGTATTTGTTTGCATGTTTGTGTATTGGTTTATATGTTTGTCATTCATTACACCCTCAATATGTTAGACTATATTTCACATATACATGTTAAAATTGATATGGAGAGAAAAAAGAATAACTTTAGATCATTTACCTATAGCTTATCCTTCACACATGAGTGACTTTTGTATTTTTAGTTCTTCTTTCATTGCTATCCTTCAGTATCTTGAACCCTATTTAACCTACACCAGATAATGTTTTTTAGATGTTGTGTCTTCACAAGCTACATCAATTTGAGCATGTTTTTAACACTAGAGTTACTTTTGTATTTTCATCTAAAGTATGTATTCATTACAGCCCTAATATTTTGGACCCTATTTCATCTATACTTGAAATTGGCACATGGTTACATCTGAGGGAGAAAAACTCAACCATACCGAAATGAGATCAGCACAACTCAGTCTCCATTTGGAGTGACTTTTATATTTTCAGCCATTTTTTTATTTACATCCTCAATATCTTAGACATTATTTCATCTAAATTTTTTAAATCAGCATGTAGATGCATCACAAGGTCAGTAACTCAACCATATTAAAATGTGGACACTGACCAATTGAGTTTTGTAATTTCAGCTATCCATTCATTACATCCTCTGTTTCTGGAGTCCTGATTTAGCCTACACACCTGAAGATTACTATGTTACTTCATCACAAAGGAATTAACTCAACCGAACCAAAAGTGGGTCATTGTGACCAAATTTTGATGTTTGAGTGACTTGTGCTTTCTGCCATAAAAGTTCATATTTTGTCAGCTGTTCTAAATGTACTTCATTTGGCAGTGGGGTTTTTTTTGTCATTTCATTCATCTTTTTCCTTCCTTTAAAAAACATAATTTCATTTGTTAAAATTAACATTTAATGGGCACCAAATGACCAGTATTGTGTTGACGTGCTGTTAACCCTAATTGCACACAAGCACACATACACACACAACACACACACTCTTTGAATTAAGATAGCAAACTTGTGTTACTGTAAATCCTTGGGTAGATAGCCTGAAACTACATCCAAATCTAGAAATGTCATTAACAAGGTGCTTTTTTTTCAAGGTAATTTTCAGGGATTAATCCTTGACCTCATAGAATCTGTTGCTGTGTCCATAGTTGATATTTATGTATCAAAGTCAAACATGTTACCTTTATGAGTATATGCATAGGCCTGCCTGTTAAATTTATAGCAATGTAGTATATGTTCACTATCAATTTGATCCCTTTTACCTTTAATGTACACATTACAGAAGCTTTTGAGTAAAATCTGATCTTTATAGTAATACAATTATTTTACATGGAAGAAATTTTTACATGCTTTAACATGTTAAGAAAACTCATTCACAGTTATGCCAGTGAAGCAGTGTGACCAACCATAGCTGACATCACTTTTCCTCAAAATCCACTGATGTTTACATTAATGAATCATCAGATTTTGATAAACTATAAAAAGTCAGTATTGCCTACATCAGCTTCCGAGCCTATATCAGACTTATTGAAGCTTCAGTCATAATTCTCATCATCCAATCTCAAGAAAATACTGAACAAAATCTGTGACATCCATTTTTGAGAACGTAGAATCCAACTTGGTTACTTCAAATAGCAGATTACAACTAGGTCTTAAATGGCAACCACATGATGTGATGTAATGATCATTTAACTCAGTGCCAGTAAAATCAAATAAGGGGTCTCTGCTGACCTCAGTGAAGTAGAGGAGAGATATTACACTAAACCCCCCCCATTTTCATGTGTATAAAACAGTAATACCTGTTAATAGTGGCCATCCACAGAAAAAAATCTAAACTTAATACACGGGTGACTTTTGAATATGAGTTCATCATTCAAAATTGGGTTTTAAAATTATTATTATTATTATTATTATTATTATTATTATTATTATTATTATTATTATTATTATTATTATTATTATTATTATTATTTCAACAGATTTAGTTTAGTTCATCCTTCAGCAGAATCATAAATATACATTTTCCCAAACTTACATTCCACTCCAGCTTATTATATCCTGCTCACTTTAATTCATCTTTTAAATTAAATTATCACTAAGGACTGACTATGTTTGACCAGCTTGTATAATTAGGCTTGGAAATGACTGTTCACATATCAAACCATATATGGATTAACCTGATCTTTAACTAGTTAGAATCAAAAGAGAGCTTATCTGAGAGACCTGTTTTGAATAAGGAATGAAAAAAAAGCCTTATGTGATTATTGTTAGGAATGGCCAATTAATTTTTTTAGGAGAGGGTGGCTGATACAAGGAATTTTTTTTGAGGAAAAGAAATTCTGGCTCCTATACTCTTGCTTTGATTTGTAGGAAAATAAAATAAAAAATTTATCCTTTATATTGACAAAGCAAATTACCTTGAGAGAAAAAAACCAAAATATCCTGGTTCAAAAGAAAACAATCCCTGCCTCCTGAAAATTAAATGACAAGTCCCTTAGTAACACATAGACCAAAAATTTACCTAATTTTACAGACAATGATCATTTATGTTTTTTTTTTAATGACTTCAGACCCAAAGGCAAAGGATGTCACATCTCTCAAAGATTTTTTTTTTATATCAGCAGTAGCTTTAATTCACAGGTTAATAGATGCAAATATCCAGCTGTATTTGGCACAAAAGGCAGCTCCCACTTCTGCTGTGACATGACTGCTGTTATTAAATTCTAGCAAATTAAAGTCTAGCAAATTAGTTGATTCATCCATCTTCACAGATAATAAAAAATGCCCTGCTGTCTAATTTAACATACTAACTCATTTGAGTTGCACTGATGATATTTCAGGTCCAAGTAAAAAAAAGAAATGATTTTTAAACTTATTCACATGATATGCCTGAAACTACACAATACCTTCCTTGTCACGCAAAAGGTTAGTTTACATACACAGCAGCAGCAACTGTCAATAACCTTCATTGACAGCTTCAAACATTTAGAAAGAATGAATTATTTGTGCAGAAGCAGAAGTGTTCTATGCATAACATATATATATATATATATATATATATATATATATATATATATATATATATATATATATATATATATATATATATATACAAAATTGGCATGGAGGAAATTAGAATGACCATGAGACCAGGTGACCACTATGTGAACATGACTGTTCAGACGAGTTGGACTGTTCATATGTACAGCTTCTATTGTTTTCATCCTTGATCATTGGCAACAGTTTGGAGTGTATTTCAAGCACCTACCCAAGGGGGAAAGGCTATCTTTGTGTATATTATTTGTAATTCTTGGTTGTGTTTTTGCATTGAGCTAATTTTGTTTTGCATCTTGTATTAATTACTCACTTCATGGATTTTGGTTAAAGATTGTCATGTAACTGTTTATACTAAATTTGTGAAATTAATGATGTCCATTTCTTGCTATCACATCCATTTAACTTAAGAAGCTAATAATGAATTATTTTTAATTTTTACTGGCTCTGGATGAGTTTATGCATTTAGCTTAGCACAAGATTTTGGTATGCTGTATTCATACTATCCTATCTAGAAGTTAGAAACTTGGTGAGTGGATTTATCTTAACAAGTTCTACATTGTTATTGCAAAAAGAACCCTTTTTTACATGTCATGCTTCTGATACTTTGTTGATAGTTTGTATTTAATGTTCATTATGAGTGTTCATGGTCAAGTCATGAAGTTTGAGAATTGCATACATCTCTCTTGGTACTAGACTCTTGGAACCAAAGAAGGTGACCATGACCTATATTTTATGCTTTACTACCATAGGATAAGTATTTGTATTTAGCTCATGACCAGGGAGCTTTGTTAGCTCAGTTGATACAGCATCTGACTTGTAATCCAAGGGTCACAGGTTCATTTCCTGTCCAGGATAGCTATATTGGTATGTTTTGGGGAAAAGGCACTTAGCTTCCATTTCACCAGCATGACATATGCAATAATATATTAGAATTTAAAACCAACAAAAACAATTAGTTCATGGTCACATAGATTTTTCTTCCCTGCTGTTCACAGCCAAGCCTACTCATAAGTCCCATTATGGCCAGTACAGTCATAACGTAGAATAAATATGACCATTCAGTGATAACATTCCATATCGGTGTCTATACATTGCATATTGTGATAGGTTACCTCAGCAAGGTGACTGTGTATGGTATGTGTTAGTGAACAGTCCCCTTCTTGTCCTCTTATACGGCCACCATTTCTGCAGTGGGTATAAACATCTATCTCTGTCTTTTAGTTTCATTTTGCTACTGTAGTATAATGTATATTGATGATTATTTGAATCTTTCTGACATAAAATTTTGGATTTTCCCTCTTTCCATTTAGATGAATTTCTGTTTTGGTCTAAGCTAAGAATGTCTGATATTTTGCTACGCCTTGTACCTTGATAGGTACATTGTTGTTGTTTGTTTCATTATTGCATGAGATGCTCATGGTTTATAAAAGAAGTTAGCTTGTCACTTTGTCAGCTTGTTTGGTCTAGTGCCATTTCAAGTACATATGCTATCTGAAAAAGAAAATCTGCAATGGTTAACTTCCCATTTTTACATTCTGTCAACCCTACATCATGCTAACTTAAACTGGTCAGTACTGTGCTTCTTTGCAGTTAGTTAATGTCATCTGATTATTAAGGCTGATAATATCCAGTCATTATCAGAGTGACAAAAGCAAACATATAAGGAAGACACGACAGTAAGGATAATTGAAATTATTATCCCATTGTATGGATTAAATTTTCATTGTCGAAACAACTGTCATTGTGTTGACTTTAGAAATTGACATATTCATGAGATTTCTATTTGTAAACACCATTATGTGGTTACTTATTTGGATTGAGATTTCTATTTGTGAACACTATTTTGTGGCTACTAACAAAGAGTTAATGTGACAGAAAAAAAGGCTTTTAGAGATTGACAGATATAATTGCTTCTAAAAAAGAGAAGTTTAAACAACGATGAAAAATATGGAAAAATTTGTTGCACTAGTGTTGGTTTTTATAAACTCATTTTTATACCTTTTCTTTGATATGACAGAAAATAATGTTTTATAATTTTTTATGCCCTTTCACTCGATTAACATTTTGTTCAAAGATTATTTTATTACAGATTTTCTGCACACTAATTAATATTGATAATGCAGACTACTAAAGGCTTAGTAGAGGTAAGCTATGTAATCACTGATTACATTCTAGTAATATTGTCTATCAAAGAAAATAATGGCAACACTGTTCTTATAATGGTTGACTAACACATTTCATTCTGGTTACGGATCACTGCCATCTCACCTCTGTCTGTGTGAGTTGAGTCCAGACTTGTCCTAAGTGAGAAAGCCTGCCAGTAGCTTCTCATGGATTGGTGGTTCTTCCTGGGGTTTTTTTCAGGGTTCTTCCTCCACCATTAATACTGGCCGCCATGTATAGCCTATCTTGTGCTGATAAATAGCATTAAGCCCAACAACAACAACAACAACATCATTCTGGTTAATAGTGTGTCTGTCAAAGAAACTGTTCACTATACTGTAATGGTTGACTAACACATTACATTCTGGTTAATAGTGTCTGTCAAAGAAAATGTTCATTACACTACTTATAATGGTTGACTAACACATTTCATTCTTGTTAATAGTGTCTGTCAAAGAAAATGTTCAATACACTGTACTTATAATGGTTGACTAACACATTTCATTCTGGTTAATAGTGTCTGTTAAAGAAAATGTTCACTACATTGTACTTATAATGGTTGACTAACACATTTCATTCTGGTTAAGAGAGTCTGTCAAAGCATATAATGACCTCATTGTACATGTACTTGCAGTAATTGACTAACACATTACAGTCTACTTAAGTGTCTGTGAAACCAAATAATGGCCTTGGTGTACTCACAGAAATTGATTAACACATTACATTTTTTAAAAAATAGTTGGGTGGAAAGTACATTAATATCTAGAACTGCATACCTGTTAAAAACTGTTGAGAATTTTCAGCCTAAATGATGTTTATGACAACAAACAAGTGGTAAATTGTTAATGATATTATCTATGTATAAATGTTTCATGTATACATCATATTATAGTTGCAGGTCATAGAGTTTTGTACCTAATGATTAAGAAAATGTATAATTTACAATGTTCATTTTGTATCCAATTTACACATATATTTTATGTTAATAATTATTGTATATATAATGTTAAACTTATTTCAGAATCTTTTGTTTACAATTAACTGTTGTGTTGAAGCATGCTATGAAACTGGGGCATGATAGAATAATGTATCTACCAAGATAATCTCAGATTATGACTCACTGTGACCTCATTTTTAGCATAATCTAGTATAAAGCATTTTTATGCATGAAGATGTGTCAGTCCTAATATTTCTCATATTGTTACCTAATAATTAGCACAAGAGATCTGATTAAGAGACATCTTTACAAAATTATAGTGTAGAATATATGCTTGACTCTTAGTATCCGCTCTTCAGTTTCCTTTCATTTTGTTGTGAATTATTTTTTTTTGAATTACAGTCCTCTCTCTTAATAACATTGTAGTTGGAGTCCATAATTGCTGATTGCATTATGTACCAAACCACAGTATTGTAATACAGATGATAAAAAAGATCCTATGATTGCATGTATGTATGTTGAGGAGGGTTAAAAAAAACACCTGTCAGAGTATGGTAATAACACAGAAGCTGGTGTCCATAACTGGTGACTGATAGAAAATAAAACACCAAGCAAACACATAGTAATAATGTAAATTTTTGCCAGTTAACTATATTTTTGTTCACTTCTTGGTATTCATGCATTTAATTTTGTCAGATAATTCAAATGTTTTAAAAGTAAATAAAAATGTAATATTGAGTTTTTGTCAGGCATTTAATTCATTCAAAAACATTGGTTCAGTTTTTGGTCATAGGGTCCAGAATGGCACAATGTTATCAATTATTAATGATGGGGAGTTATACTTGGGTATAAATGTAACATCCATACCTGTTACACCTGAAACAATACATCACTCCCCCTTTTATTATTACACAGTTCCTTTTAGAAGGTGGGTGTGGTTATGGATTCCATATCTTTAATTGGTAGTAAAATTATACATATAATAATGTACTTTTATAAGTTAGACTCACTATAAGGCAGCATTCTCTGTTGCTGCCACAGAGTCTTATAAGGAGGTATTGCTGTCATGGGGGTAAAGTTGATTAATACATTATCTGAATATGACGTACTGGCTAGTCAGGTTTATGCTGTATTAGGGTGCACATTATACAGAGTTTAATATGGTACTGTATATAACTTATGCAGTTGTTGAATTCATTATACTTAAGCATAGCTCTCTCCCTTTGATTTAAATGTCAATTAGTGTTTCCATCTGAATGCGCATGTGTTGTGTGGTAAAGGAAAAAAGAGCTGGAAAAGAGACAGTCTTTCAGTAGTTTTTTTATATGTACTTTTAAAACTCTTTGTGATTTTTTAATACATATGTTTTCAGAGCCTGTAGCTTCTTTCTAAACTTTGCTACAAAGAAAATAAGAAAATGATATATTATTCTTTTCATCTATGTTAATGTTTTGGATTCAGAATTCTCAGTTTGTCAACAAGAAGCTCTTTGTTCTAAGCATTACTTCACCATAATATGCTGTATATGCTTATCTCTCAATTTTCCAAGGGATATACAAGTATGACCTACTATAAATTTGCATTTGATATGCATTCCATGTACATTTTGTTATATAACACTCAATTAAAACACTACTATTTAAATAGTACTGATTCCTCTTTTTTCCCCCTCTGCTGTAGCAGAAGAGGCATGTGCTTTGTTGCTGTCTGTCCATACATCCATCCAAAGTCAGTTTTGCATATTAAGACAAGAGACCCAAGTAGACTTGAACTGCTCACCAGAACAACATCTGCCTTGTTGCAAAATGCAAGAGCAGCTGGCCAAGAAATCAGTCAGTGGAGTACTTTCTGTTCAATTTTTTTTTTTCTAATGCTAATGGCAACTTTTTTGTAATAATGTTCAAATGTTTTTACCAATTGCCTTGTGATCCTTGTGTTCATCCATCCTTTCATCAGGTGCTGTCTTGTATGTACATATACATATTGATAAGTTAGTTGGCTCACAAAAATGTTTTGATAGGTTTTGACATTTTTGTATTATAAGATGACACCATTTGTTTAGTGCAGCTAGTTCACCAGGTTTTGGTGGAATGCCATAAATTGCTGGTTAATATTATGGTAATCACCTCAAGATGTGCATATCAACAAATCACTTTGCTATCTACATATTTGTTGGAGTTATTGCCCTTTTTGTCTTGTGGCCTAATGAAGCATATGTATTACGCTGCTCCAACTAGTTCCACAGATTTTGATGAAATGCCAGGAAACTTTGTAATTATTAGGGTCATTACCAGAAGATGTGCATGTTTTACAAACGACTTTGCTCCTACATTTTGTTTAATATGCTATTTGTCTTGTAGCTTAATGCATGAAATATAGTAAATATTATGAAACATTTTGTGTTCTGTGTGCAGTGTATGACTGATCTGGTGGAATTAGTTATGCAGTTTTTGGTGTATTGCCATAAAACTTAATAAATATTAGTCATCGCAGGTCATAAATCACTTTTTCTCCTGACCACTTGGGTGGCCTAAGTGGTTAGAGCATCTGTCTAGGATGCGGAAGGTCACAAGTTCAAAACCAGCCAGATCATACCAAAGACTTGTATAAAAAGTACTAGCAGCTGGCTCAATTTGAGCTAAGCATTAAGTGGTTATAGTTAGGCCTGGTTGGCCTGGTGTCAAGATAATGTGACTGAATGAGACATAATTCTATATGTATGTGGCATGATGCCCCAGTAGTAGACATCACTATA